TTATGTAAATTTAAAATAAATAAAAATGTCGTTAAAATATTGAATTAAAAGCGTTCAATTCAATTAACTGTTAAACAAGTATACAAGAATAAGATAACATAAAAAAAAATCTAATTAACAAATGAAAATGCTACAAGTCAACGTGACATTTAATGATTTTGGTGGATAAGTTAAGACCAAATTTTCTCAACGCTAAAATAGTCTGTTAAGACATGGATGATATACTCAAAAGTTATGCTACACTTGCGACAAGTTTTTGAACTAGTTATGTACCTTTTTCATTCGTTCTTTATTGCTGTAAAACTTTGTCATGCGTTACTCTCCATAAGTGGGTCCTAATTTTAGAGGGAATTTGAGGATTAAGACTTTTGGATATCATCAAAAAAGATTTAAACAATCTTAAGAGAGAAATGCCCATAAGTTGCCTCAAACCAACTGATAAAGTCCTTTCCATCCTTTTTTTATCTGCAAAATGATATTGATTATCTTCGGACAAATATGTTGTGGGTGATGCTTTTTAATCAAGTTCTATTTCCAATCCTCTTCAATCCCCAAAATGAGAAGTTGGTAGATCCTCATCAGAAATGTCATTGTGATTTTATTAGAGATTATTGAATCGTGCAACACAGTTGTCCTTCCAGTATTTCACTTTGTCACCATGACCTATGTATTCCACAGTGTAATCTTAAATAGGGTAATTTGAAGCCGCAACTATACCTCGCCAATTATTATAAACAAGTTGAGAATCTTTGATCATAAGATGGCTTGTGGAGTCTCCGTATAACTAAGCTTCATGATATAAGTCATTCCAAATTTTCAAGTGATGGAATTCAAGACCCTTTTTCCCTTGAGGGAACAAATTTGGTTCCACAAAATTAAGTGATACTTTCTCGTGTTAGTGGACGAGTCCCATATCAACTTCATGCAAATACGATGTGTTTTTTTTTACAGGCCGCTACGCGAATCATTTTAGTCTGCATTATGTATCTCAGGATACTAAAAATGTAAGGTTATATACTAAAGTCACGCCACCAGTAAAAGAGAGGATATTGCTCATGCAATAATTAATACAATATCGATTTTTCGCTATTATTGCTTTCTCTAAGAAAATTTTATTCAATATATTTAATCTAATGATTTCTTTTTCACAATGTAGCCATTCTGAAGAAGTATAAGTTTCCTTTACTAGTTAACTATCATACGAATTGAGATCAATCAATATAATTTTTTGAGCAGTTAAGCGATTGTGTTTTATAAAATTTAAAACCATATTTAGTACTGATTATGAAGTCTAAAAGTACACAGTTCATAAGACAAAAATGAAAGTGAAAATAAATTCTAAAAATGATTAATAGAATCACACAGGTATCTGCTGATGTAGAAGACTCGTAATCTAACAATTATTAACCAGCCGAATAACAAAAAATAAAAGCAATAAAATTTAAAAAATCAAATTATTATGTTTAAACTTAAAAACATAATAATTTCAAATCAATAAAATCTTAAATTTAAATAAAATTACCTAGGTTTAATTGAATTAACTTTAAAGCTTGAATTATTAAACGAGGGTAAGAGAAATGTGCAGAAGGCCCCAGGACCATATCTGTGACCCTATCTCGTGATTGAACCAGCAAATTATTCACCTTCCGGACAATCTCGTCCGGTTTTAGACCGTTTTGTTAACATAATTTTGAAACTCATAAAAATACCACCACAGCGGGGCACTTTGGTCTTTATACGCAGTATCGCTTGTTGCTTTGCCGCTTCGTGGGGCGCAGATGCCACGTGTGTCTCTGCTTTCCTCGATGCTCAAGTACGTGATCAAGTTCTCGCCACGTGTACAAGTATTAACACATAAAATCACTGGAGCGGTGGTGTGAAGACCGAATATTTTTCTTTTTACTTTGTAATTTTTAAAATTTAAAATTAAATTCAAGAAAAATAGTGATCATATTAAAGTGCGTCTTGTTATTTTAGCGAAAAAAAAATTGAAAATTTCCATAAAGAATAAAGATTAATGGAAGAGGTTTTTTCAACTCTTTTTTTAAGTGGCTCCATTAATACCCTAAATTACAGCTGTCCCCACTCAACTGTTTCAATGCTGCCAAAGTACAATTCTCCGTATCTGTTTTCCTTGTTTGGGAAAAGAATGCTGTGTCTGGTGGGTTAAAAACCGTGTTTCGCAATCCATTCCGTTGTAATTATCTTAATTTACTTTTCGGTGTATGGGAAAGTTAGTTATTATTTTAATGGAGTGGGGGCAACACATTTCATATATATATATTTTTAGTATATATTTGTGATATATAATAAAAATTAATTATTATTTAAATTATTAATGTGTTTTTTTGTTATATTATAAAAATTTAAAGAAGTTTATTATACAATTTTTAATTATATATCTAAATTAAATTAACTAAAAAAATACAATCTAAGCTGCTATAAATGAATGGTTAGAGTAATCATCCATGATCCAACGCTTTGTTTAACACTCAATTGATGTTGTATTTGTAAGTTATGCGGTAAAAGTAAATTATATTTTTTTGGATTTTATTTGAAAAAAAACACTATTGTTAATAGCAAGTAATATTTTTATTTAAAAATAAATCAATTGTGAAATTATTTTATAATTTTATTTATTGTGATATTTATTTTAACAAAACTCACACTTATTTAATATCAAGGATATACTTTTAAAATTTCATGTTGACGTCGACGACTTAATTTTTTTTTTATATGTATTATATAAAAGGAGTAAAAAATTAAGAACGTAGCGAAGGTTAAATTGATTATTTTTTGTTGATGATAACACTTTAATTGATGATAATTCAAAATGAACGAAATATAAAAATTAACAAATTTTTATATTAAACAAATATATTTTATCATAATATTGTTATTTGTAAGTCAACATGATGTATTGATATGTTGATTTTTTTGCAATATAAAATATAGTATCATAAAATTACATGTGCTATTTTGGTACTTAATATTTGAATTCAAAGTCTTTTATATTTAAAATGTTCAAAATTGATATTCAAATATTTTAAAAGTTCAAATATAATGAGATTACGTTATCACTCTGTTCTTAACACGATGATAAACGAATGAGAAAGTAAGTCAGTAAATACTGAATATTTTGAAAACTAAATTATAAAATAATGAAATTTAATTTACGAAGAAACGAGGTATTAGTAAATTAAATAAAACAACATGATTTAATATAAAAAATATGTTTTAACAATTGTGAAATGTCAGTTTTTTAATATCTTATAATAGAATTAAAGTTCAATAAAAAAAAGTAACAACGCATTTATACGTATATATTTGTTATTCTACAGATATATATATATATATATATATATATATATATATATACACCTTCCTAATTTGATTTTTAGGGGATACGTACAACGACAGATTTGGCGTGTCGCAGCTATGTTATTTGTGGAGAAGACATATCTTGTAAATCACGCTTGATAAGAAGACGATGATTAAATGGATTCCCCATTGACGGAGTCTTAATTAATTGTAGTAAAATTGTATTATAACTATTATGGATTAAGAATTGTACTTGTGTATTTATTTTAAAAAGAAAGTGTACTTAAGTGAGAAGATTTAGTGGGTGCTGGTTTAGTATTATCACCGACGTTAATAAATTATGAGGTGAAGCAAATATTTTATGATGAAGAAAAAAGTTGGGAGTAGGGAAGGGTGATTTAGTGTGGGGAGTGCAATGTAGAGAGACAAGAAACGAAGGAAGGAATGGTTGAAGGTCCACGCGGTGGGTAGTATATGTACGACGTACGAGTAAGAGAAACAGAAATGGATACGGATCTGTTTGATCATAATAATCATATCTTTGCTTTCCCATTTGAATACTCACTCACTGCATCCTATCCGACAACCTTCTCTCTCGCCCTTTTCCCATACTTTTCTTTAATCCATCCCCTAATCCTCCACTTTCAGATTATCGATTAATTAATCTATTTCACGACTGACAAATACGTGGGCTTCAGAAGATTATACTAATTTGAAAAAATATAAATAAAAGGGTCGTTCAAATATCGAAGAGATTTAAAATTTACAATTGGGGGGAGAATAAGGATTGAGGAAGAAGAGAGGAAAGTGTGGGGGGCCTCGGGGATTGTAAGAGAACCGGTTCCGTACAGGACAGCAGGTGTTATTTAAAAGAAGGAATGGAAGTGACCGGCACGTGTGGGTGGTGATAGAGAGATAGAATAGGCCGTTATAGGATGATATGGTGGTGGGGGTGGCAGGTATAGAATACAGGCTGGACTGACAGAAAAGCAGTAATGATTCGCCCTCCGATTCGGCGACCGATCTTGTCGTTTTTGGCCAGCTCAGCCTACCGCTGGGTCCCACTGTTATTTTTCCCAAGAAAAGGACGAAACTTAAAAATCCCACACGAAATGCTCTACAGCCTGGAGTCCTCAGTCAAACTGAAACCAAAGCAGAAGGAACCTCACCCAACTCCAACCCAACCGTTATCTTATTTTTCTTTCCGTTTATTCTCTCTTTTTCTTTAAATGCTATTTTAACGTCAAAATTCTGCTTCTCACCCCCTTCTTTGTCTACATTAACTTCCTCAACTGTTCCATTCACGTAACTATCCCACGTTCTCCCCCCTCCCGTGAATGTCAAATGCACTTTACTCCCTTCCTTTCAAACTTCTAATAACCGTCGTCACCGTAAATCAATCTTCCAAATAAAGATTTCGTTTATATTTTTAATTTTACAACTTATATTATTTAATTGATTATATACAGTTACTTTCAAAATATAAATATATCGTGCAAAACTACTATTTAGAACCGAATTTTTTAATCAATTTTTTTTTTTTTACTTTTTTCAAAACTAATTTCAGTTACTGCAGAAATAATTTTACCAAAAAAATCCAAACACAAATTGCTAACCTGAGAGGAATGCAATAATACAAATAAACATAAGATAAGTAGATGCTGAAAGGCTCTCTCTCCTCCGCAGGTAAAAGTGGGGGCTATAATTAAGTGGAGCGTTGGGCGTGTAATAAACGCGCTATTGCATGGGGAAATAATTTAGGGGGTTTTAAAATGGAATTTGTGTTGATTATAGTAATTTGAAAGGATATAAAAAAGGAAAAGAGAGAGGAAGGAGGGTGGTGACTTGTGTAAACGGGAGCAGCTGAGGAGTGACGCGTGTCCGATGACAGCTGTATCCCAAATCCCAAGCCAACCGCTTCCCTGGAAGAAGCGGTACCGATTGCCCATAACGCTCGCTGACAACTCCAAAACCTAACTTGCCCAACCGGTGTCCTCTTACCCTATCCCACTCAAATATAAGCAACCCTAGCAGCACCAAACCAAACCAATGCTCCACCACCAATACAACACAGGAGCCTCCTCTTCCCTCTGTCCCTCCCAACTAACAACCCTCCACTTCCACTATTCCCTTTCGTGAAACATTTATTTTATGATCCTTTGAGATTCCATAAGCTAAGATATGAACACCGGCGTCACCAGAAGAGACATGGATCGCATCAAAGGCCCATGGAGCCCCGAAGAGGACGAGGCCCTCCAGAAGTTAGTTGAGAAACACGGGCCCAGAAACTGGTCCCTCATCAGCAAATCCATTCCCGGTCGTTCTGGCAAGTCCTGCCGCCTCCGGTGGTGCAACCAGCTCTCGCCCCAGGTGGAGCACCGAGCCTTCACGCCCGAAGAGGACGACACCATAATCCGCGCCCACGCGCGCTTCGGCAACAAGTGGGCCACAATCGCCCGCCTCCTCTCGGGCAGAACCGACAACGCCATCAAAAACCACTGGAACTCCACCTTAAAGCGCAAGTGCGCTTCCATGATGCTCGATGAGCCTCAACCTCTCAAAAGGTCGGTGAGTGCCGGCGCGGCTTTACCAATCTCCACGGGCCTCTGCATGAACCCGCCCACCCCTGGTAGCCCCTCTGGATCCGATGTGAGCGAGTCCAGCGTACCAGTTGCGTCCTCATCCCACGTGTACCGACCCGTGCCAAGGACCGGCGGGGTTCTACCTCCGGTAGAAACGACGTCGTCCTCCAATGACCCTCCAACTTCATTGTCCTTGTCTCTCCCCGGCGTCGACTCTTCCGAAGTCTCCAATCGGATAACTGAACCAATCCACGTCGCGCCGCCACCGTCCAATACTATCCCTTTGTTGCCTATAATGACTGCTCCGGTTCCGGTGGCGGTGCCGCAACAGTTTCAAGATACGTCGTCATTGAAGCCTTTTAATTTAAGTGCGGAGTTTCTGGCTGTGATGCAGGAAATGATAAGGAAGGAGGTGAGGAGTTATATGATGGGGTTGGAGCAGCAGAATGGGATGTGTTTTCAGGCTGCAGCTGATGGGTTTAGGAACGCTTCCGTGAAGCGTATTGGAATTAGCAGGATCGATTCGTAAATATTATCAGAGAGTAGAGAGATATCAGAAAACAATCGAAAAAACAAATCAAGCTCTTTTTTATGTTTTTTTTCCCACCATGTTTCTAGGTAATAATTTTGGTTAATGTACAGTGGGGGAACTCGATCCCAAGAGAGATGGATGAACGGATAGGAGAGAGCATCGGTTGAACTTGAATCGGAGGGGAAAGAAGAGGGCGATGATAGATGTTATCCGAGCATAAAAGAAACCGAAAATTCTGTAACTTTTTTTTATCGTCTCTTGGTCCTGTTCTGCGGGCCTAGTTGAAAAACAAAAACAAAAAGCATGCTTAGAATAAAAAAGAAAGTCCTTCAAATCTGAATATAATTCTAAATTTATTACTTCGTTTGCAAAAACAAAATTCTCAATCTCGATTCAGTTCGAATTAAAAATTTTAGGCGACAGGGTAACTGAATTTGAAAGGTAGTTAGATTAGTTTAGAGATGGGAATATTATTGAATCGATGCTAGTTTCAGTTTTAGATGCAGTTTTTATGTCGGGACCAAAGACAGACAGAGATCTAATTCAGTGTTATTATCCATGTCTTAAAACTTCTTTTCGTTAAGGAGTAAATTTAATCAAAAGAGGAACGGCCGGGGTAACCCTTTGTTATGCCCATTAAAGATACAAGTGATGTTCAACGACGGACAGTTAGTTAAAACGTGGGATATATCTGTTTTATGAGATAAGATCGAGTTCCTGGTTAACTGCACACAACAGCTACAAAAATCTTTCTCGCGCATCATGCGTTGACATAATTGGGCTTATATATCACATAACTTCCAGCAAGGGGCTATAATAACTTCCAGTGTCCCAGCACCATTAATAAATCAAGAGCGATCAATTTTTTAGATGATTTTTACAACATTTTTATATACTTTTTTATTTTATATTTCTTTTTTACCCTTCTTATTTTGTTAATTACAAAAACTGTTGTGAAAAATGAGTTGTGAGAATCGACCTATCCATAAATTAATAAACGATGATGCGGTTGAATTCATTTGTAGAAGCCGGGTCGGTACATATAGTCTATTTTCGAAGTATAAATATTTATTTTTAAAATATTGACTAAATAATGAATTACTGACATTCATATTCAATTCATATATTTATTCGAGTGTAAATAGATTATTAGAGAGACGTTGACTCTGCGACTCATGACCAAAAGATACTGTGCTTGATATTGCCATTGGTAGTTTACAACTACCGGACTAACGGATACATAGGTGATTGTTCAACTAATCCACTTCATGGCAATTCAGTTAATTAACCTCCAAGTTTAATTTTTTATTTCCTTTACACTCGCGTAGAGCTTCTTTGGCTGTCTTATGAATTCATTTTTCATGTTGCATCATTGTCTAAGACTCTGCCAAATATATAGTTATTCGCATGACTAAGAAATAAAAAAAAAAAAAAAAAAACCCTTTACAACTCTCTGGGATGACAGATATACCAGAAATTTTTATATTTCACAAAAAAACCACAATAATGTTCAAATTTATTAAAATATACAAATACACCATTGTTAAATTGCCATATTGAATAGAGTCGGGTCCAAGATTTCAGTAATCAATGTTTATGACTGAGACAAAAAGATGGATCTGGATATTTTCTCGTTATAACGGAAACTGTCTAAACAAAAATAAACTCATTTAGAAAAAAAAGTAAAAAAAAAAAAACGATAAAAAATAGTTTTGGACAAAATTTATTGAAATTAATTTAGTTTGTTTAAGTAAAATTCTGTGTGTTTCTCACGAGTGGAAAGAGCCATTAATATATGAGTGGAAGTAGGGAAAAGAGGGTGTAAGAGTTGGGTAGGAGAAAAGCCAAAGAGAAATTGTAAAATTGAACCAAATCAAATAATCATTTACGTCTAGTTGTTTCCTTTACTAAAATAAAATCAACTCATAAACATTCGTATCTTAAGATTAATTAATTTATTAGAAGAGTAATCACCAAAAAATCCTATATTTTAATTTACTAGAATTAACATATTAATGGGAAAGAAAGTAATAATTTTGATTGTGCAACAAGCAATGAACCAATACCAAAATATATACTTTCATTGAATTGCGGTGACAAGCATTCTCTTAATCCTATATTAAGAGGCAAGAGAAGTAAACAAGAAGGGAAAAAAAAAGAAGGAAAATCCTAACACAGAATGAGGTGCGCACGCGCATAGAGAGCATCTGAAAGTAAATGAAAATAGCAAAGAGGCGTGATAAATGTTGATTCCATGTACAGACATCATTCAAAAAATGCACTTAGTACAGTCGCAACCGTCAACTTCGAATCTACAACTGTAATTAAAAGTACACCTTTAACAAAATTTGCCTCCATTTTTAAACATCAATATTCAATGGTTTGAAGTTTTCTCAAGAATGAAAATAGTTATTGAATATCTTAATTATAAATATATAATTGTATTTATTTAAATTATATTCTCATTGTGTTCCATGTAATTTCATTCAATTTAATAAAAATACTAAAAGTTTACTATATATTTTAGTTTAAATCAATTTTATTCGAATTAAGTATGATTATTTTATGTGTTAATATTTTTTCTTTAATTATAAAACACAAATATATTTATTAAGATTTGAATTTAAAATTGCAGATTAAGCTGAAATAAGCTTTATTAATTGATTCACGTATTTGATGAAAATTTACTCTATATTTTTTTAAAAATTATTTTTATATTTAAGAAGATAAATAAAATGAAATAGAAAATGACGTATTTTCGCTTACATAAGTTTGACCTCCAATAAATGCTATGTAATTTAACAAATCACCTATTATTATAAAAATGCTAGAATAAAGAAATAATTTTTCTAAAGTGTGTTTAAGGATATACTATAAAAATTTGTGTATACTGAATTTTTAATAAAAAATACATGAAATAAAAGAATTTAATGTATTAGTAATGTTAAATGTTTTATTTTTTAATTAAAATATTTTTTATTAATTTTTCTTAGGGCAATACATTTTTTTAATACACTTGTTACTATTGAATGAAACTTTTTAATACATTTTTTAAATTAATAAATTATTATTTTTTAATTTTAAAGATGGATACAATAGACTAATTTGTCATTGATCTGCATTTTAGTGAGTTAAAATGGGATAAGCTGAGTGGGTCAATAGGTTGAAAGCATTTAGCTTGACTTACTATTTTAATGGGTTAGACAGGTTGGCCTGTCCAACTTGACACATCTACTTGGACAGAGGGTAAAAACTATTGAAGAAATCAATAAATTTAAATAATTAATAAATTTTAATATCTCCTCTTAACGATTTATCCAATATTCTTTTTCTTATTTTATAAAGTACATTGCATACAAAAATTAAACACAATCATTATCTTAAAAATATTAAAAGTATTGATTACTTTTTTATTTAGTAATTAGGATGATTTAGAATTATTCAAAATTAAGCATGCCAATTTATTCTGATTACCTATTTTTGTTACTTGTCTCAACTCACTTTTGCTAGAAATAAACAAATTATCTACTATTGATTGGATTTTCTTATAACTATAAGATTACACTGAAATTCGTTAAATTAAGAATGAAACTTATATAATGTTATAGATTTTAGTTAATATTATATATATATATATATGAAAATAAATTTTATAATTCATTAGTGAGAATTTATATACAAGGTAAGTATCTAAAACACAGTTATTATTTTTCAAAAATAAGTTGTTAATAGAATGTAACTAACTGATTTGTCTAAAAAATTAACTAAACTAAGTTCCACATCTAATAAGGTTTTTACAAAGAATATCATAACATTTCCCGTAATGAGTATAATTTAAACTATAATTTTATACTGAAAATTCAGTTACAGTATCTCGTTTTAAACGTTACATTAATTAAATGTGTCAAGTTAATGTATTTCATGTTCATGGAGGTAAATGCCACTAGCTCAAGATGTTCTTTTAGGATGAAAATTCTCTATTTTTAGTGCGAACATGACTTTTATGTGTTTATATTTTTGCATTTTTATTTAACAAAAAATTATTCACTTAAATAAAAATATAAAAATACAGAACATAAAGGTCATGTTACAGGAAGAAATTCTGACCCGTTCTTTTGTGGGGTTCACACGTTTCCAAGAAGAGTAAATGTTTTTCCATTAATTTGGTTTAATGGCATTATTTATTTTGTAGGCCCAGGTCTAAAATGCAACCACTCTATGTTAAACGTCCTGAACCAACGCCCAGAGAATGTAAACTTTTATCTTTTGACATGGGCTTGGCCTGTACTGCATCATACCTATTAGGTGCAATTTTACGCATGAAACTTGCATTGACAATGACAAAAATATAAAAAAAATTTCACTGACCAGAAAAGACAAGAAAAGAAAAAAAAAAAAAACCCGATGAAACTAACACCCTTCAAAAACATAAAAATTTAAGTGTAATATTATTTTTATATTTCAAATTAAAATGTTATCTAAATAATCAATATCAACCTTCAGTTTCAATGTTTATTTACTTGTACAAAGTTAAAATTCTAACAAAACGTTGTATAACTTGTTACTAAGTTGAAATTATAGTAAAACAGGAAAAAAAAAACGTTTTATAACTTCCACCTCGCATGAAGAAAATCAAAAGTAAGAATTCGACTTTAGGGATTTACATAAATTTAGAGACTTACAAAAATTAACTTACTCTTATGATCATGTTAAGTTGACAATTAATCTGTGATCCTAATGCCTTTTCAGTTAAAACTTTTAGACAAAGACATTAATTGATGAAATGTTTTTAGTGAGAGTTATATATATATATATATATATATATATATAAAAGAGATGCGTAAAATTATACCATACAATTATACATCGATAGTCATAATTATAAAATTTAAAATTTTATCTAATTATTTAAAAAGATCACATTACTTTTTAAAAAAATTAATATGACTTGTATATTTTAATTCTCACAATTCATTATGAGATCTAATAATAAAATTTTATTTTTCTCACTCTTACATAATTTTTTTTCACTAAATACATTACCTACACATATATAAGAAATTAACATGATTATTTAAAAAAATGTATTTTTAAGAAATTAACATCACTCACATATTTTAATTATCACTATTCATAACGAGATATATTAAATTTTATTAATCTTACTATTCAATTTAATATTTTTATAGAATATATTAAATGTATAAAATTTCAAACAATTTTGATTTTAATGTATACTTCATTATTTTACTAAATTTTAGGGTTTAATAAAATTTATTTCTCACACAAATAAAGAACATTTTTTAAAAAACACATTTTAATATCTTATTTTAATATATTAGTTATCCACTCATTAATCATATTAATTTTTTATTACCATAATTCATTAATGTTATACTTTAATATATTTTATTTTTATTGTTATTTATTTTCCCTTTTTTAGAATTATTATAATTTTGTTCAAAACATTATTACTTTTCTTATTTTTATAAGTATAATTTAAAACATTCTATGCACCTATGCTATAATATAGTCATATATATATATATATATATATATATAATTTTTAATAATATATTTTATAAATATAAAAGTTCATACATTTAATACACATAATAAATGAATTAATAAAAAGTTAATGAATATAGTATTTAATAATATTATTTAAGTTGGTTATCTTTTATATTTAATTAGCATGATATTCAATGCTATATTATAAATTGACATTAAATTTATAATATATTTTATAAATATAAGAATTCATGCATTAAATTTTATAAATATATGACATTAAAATAACATAATATTTAATTATTATTTGAGATGATAATATATTTATATGTTGCATTTAATAAATATCGTATTTAATATTACATTATTACGGTAATATAGTGAATTTTATTTATATGTATACATTGAGTTAATGAGTTCTAAGAACTGCAGCTAGCAAACAATTCCACGGCAAGGGCAAGACGGAAAATAAAAGATAGATACAAATTGAATCTTTTTTTTTCTTCAAAAAGAGAAAGTATTGTGAAATTTTTAATTATTTAAAATTAATTTACTTAAATCAAATTAATCGGAGTTTTATATGACTTATATATATATATATATATATATATATATAATATTCCACTGAGGTATTATGAATAATAAGATTCAAATCCAAATTTCTAACATCTTTGTTATCAATCTAAAGGGGATACTTTTAAATATAATAATTAATAAACATGTTGAATTTAAATTATAAACTTTGTTTTTAAATAAATGTAAATAGTAATCATTTAACTGTAATAATTCCTATATTAATACTTACACAATTGCTTGAAAACCTGTATGTGGCAAAATTCCACTAGCTGATTAAATTTAATCGGCATTAACACAAGAGTTCTATAATCGTGAGTATTGGTATCAAATACATCATTTATTTCTTCCTTAATTAAAAAAATTATTTTATCGTATATTTTATTATTCCATATGATCACGGCACCTTGGTTTCCATTTATATGCAGCACAGGTTTCTCACAGCTGGAAAGCATAAGAATACGTAGCCATAAAAGGTCATGTTCATTCACAATTAAAAAAAAATGAATATTTATGGTATGATAAAATCACATGTTTCTAAAAAACGAAAACATTAAAAACTTTTTTGTGAACTTTCTCAACGAAGAAAAAAAAAATGCACCATGTTTCAGACATACATATCTATATAAGCTGCTAAACACTTCTACATCAAAACAATAGAAGATCACAAAAGATATTCCTAGCGATCTCTCAGACTCCAAACTATAACTGCTTCTCTTCCCCACAAAAAATGTCAACAGAAGAAAAAGTGAAAGTGATAATCGTATCAGCGGCACTACAAGGCCACATTAATCCCTCGGTAAGGTTTGCAACGCGCCTTATTTCAAAGGGTGTTCATGTCACTATAGTCACCACAGAATTGGCTCGTGACCGCTTGCTCAAGAATAATGTCTCCACTACCGCAAATCCAAATTCCCAGAACCAAGAAATACAATTCGAGTTCTTCTCTGATGGTCTTAGCCTTGACTTTGATCGTGACAAAGACATGAAAACCTTTATCAGTTCCCTTCATACAATAGGTTCCAAAAACCTTTCGAGTCTCATAACAAACCTCACCAAATGCCAAAACTATTCTTGTTTAATTGTTGATCCTCTTCTCCATTCAGCTATTGATATTGCTGCTGATCTTGGCATCCCTTCTGCATTGCTTTGGATGCAACCTTGTGCGTTGTATTCAATTTCTTATCGCTACTTCAAGAATATAGATTCATTTCCTAATTTAGAGGATCCAAATGAGAAAGTGCAATTGCCTGGATTGCCAGTGCTGGAGGTCAGACATCTTCCTTCATATATGCTTCCTTCCACCCCTTTGCATATTAGACAAGTTATGGTGGATACATGTCAAGTTTGGGACAAGGTGAAATGGGTTTTTGCTATATCGTTTTATGAGTTGGAGGAAGAGATAGTGGACTCTATGAATTCTCTATCTCCAATTTACCCTATTGGACCCTTGGTTTCAGAATTTCTGTTGGGAGAAAAGGAACAAAAGGCTGTCAGTATGAATATGTGGAATGTTGATGGTTCATGCCTTGAGTGGCTTGACAGTAAGCCATCTTCCTCAGTTATTTATATCTCTTTTGGTAGTGTCATTGTTTTGTCACAAAAGCAAGTGGACAACATAGCCACGGCTTTGAAGAATAGCAACAAAGCTTTTTTGTGGGTGATTAAGCCAGCGGAGAAAGGTTCTGAGAATGATGCTGCTAAATTGCCAAGTGGGTTTTTGGAAGAAACAAAGGGGAGGGGTTTGGTGGTCACATGGTGCCAGCAAGAGAAAGTGCTAATGCACCCTTCAGTGGCTTGCTTTGTGACTCACTGTGGTTGGAACTCAATGCTAGAAACAGTGACTGCTGGTGTGCCCGTTATTGCTTATCCAAAATGGTTGGATCAGCCAACAAATGCAAAGATTATAGTGCAAAAATTTCAAAATGGAGTTGTGTTGAACAGTGGGGAAGATGGGATTGCCAGCGTAGAAGAGATAGAAAGGTGCATTAAGGAAGTGATGGAGGAGCCAAGTGCTAAGGAAATAAAAAATAGGGCAATTGAATTGAAAGCGGGAGCAAGGAAAGCCTTAGATGAAGGCGGTTCTTCTGATAAGAACATTAATCATTTTATCAATGACTTGAAGAATGTTACCAATTTTAATTAGTTTATAACAAAGTGTACAATAATATACTTTGAATAAGAGTATTATGGGTAGAGTTCGGAACTTGTAAAAGTGCAATGGAGTTGAGTCCTTGCACACCCTTAAAATTCCACCCAGTACTCTTTCCCTTTGAAAACACAAGGAAAAGAATAAAAGTAGTATGCATTTTTTAAAATGAAATCTAAATTCCACCCGTTGACTAATGTTAAGAAAGTATATGGTATTAACTGCCCATATTTATTGTTTCCTTGTATAAAGGCCTAAAAAAGGTAAATTGACATTTTATTAATAATCATAATATTTTTTTAAAAAAATAAATTCATTTAATGTGTTTTTAATGCATTAAATATTTTACTTTTACAAACAATTAATTTTATAACTTCTTAATAATTTTTTAAAGAGTTTAATTTTAATGCATTGTTAATGTAAATATGTTTACATTGTAAATCAATTATAATACATGTTTTATTTTTATATTAATTTTTATAAAAATTAATAATTTTTGTTAATATGTTAATGATTGAATAATAGTGTAAAAAAATTAATTAAATCTTTACACCGTTAATGTATTAAATTAAATTTATATTAAAAATATTCATTAATAGTATTTTTTAATTGTGGCAAATTTTTAGAAATTAATAATAACAAAATATGAATAAATTTGTCAATGTAATTAAAAAGCTCAATGAAGCATTATTTTTTATTAACAAAAAATGCACTAAGTCAAATTTAATTTTATAATTCATCAATAACTATGAGACAATTACTACTCTCTAAAGTCACACAATATGTTAACCTTTTTTATATATTAAAATTTTAAAGTGTTTAATAATTTCTATATTATAAATAAAACGTATTCAATTTATATCTTATGAATTTTTTTATCTTCTTTATGTTAATAAAATTTATTTTTTTTTACATTTGTACGTTTTTTTTATCTTTTCTACACTAACAAAATTGTCTTTTTCATATATACGTATATTTCACATAGTTCTTTCCATTCTCTTTAGTAACTATGAAATTTTCTATTAACTATTTTTTCTATTTACTAATATTTGATTCATATAAACATAAATTATTTAGTTAATACAATATACAAATTCAAATTTTTATATGCGAGAGAAAGAATCAATTTTAATTTATAATAAAAATAAAAAGAATCAACACAAGACATAAAAATAAATTTATTTTATTTTATAATACAAATCTCATGAATAAAAAAATTTTAAATTTTAAATTTGCAGTTGATATTTGTGTTAGTATATTGAATGAGAATGCTTAGGGATCTTATTTGCTAGGTTGATTGCATAATTGCTCTATTGTTTGAAAAAATATTAGTAGTTGACTAATGATTTTATAATTATTATTTTTTAAATAATAATAACTTTTGTTTATTAACAGCTATAATAATCAAGTTATGTAATATATTTTCAACAAAAGGTAATTAAATTTGAAATCTTTAATATTTGTTGAAAAACAACTTAGAATTTACAAAAATAATTTTGATTTCATTTATAATGTATAAAAAGTTAAAATTGCTTGAGGACTAGTATATTGGTTATGTGTGCGCACACAGGTTTGTGACAACTAGAACAAAGATGACATGCATTATTCTTATTTCTTGCCATAAATGGTCAAGTTTAATGCATATTAAAACATGAATATTATGGTATAATTTAACGCAACATCCTGTGTACGAACTCGGAAGATAAACTTACAACTATTTTTCAAAAAACTGTCATAACAATGACATTTTTATCATATATATATATATATACATTTAAAAATTTAAGTAAAACATATTAATAATATAAAATATTTCACAATGTCATTAAATCATAAATTATTATATGATTAACAAAATTTAATATTTAAAATAATGATATTAAAAGTTATATTTAAATTTTTTAATTGATCGATAATGTAAATTTATTTATATAAAAAGTTAGATAGGGTCCACGTAACATAATTCTTAGCATTCCCTCACCTGCCAAACCAATCCGAGAACACCGTTATTGGCTGCTGCTTCTTGAAGAAATGGCTACAGAAGAAAAAGAAAAGTGTAAGTGATAATTGTGTCAGCAGCATTACAAGGCCACATTAACCGCACATTATGGTTTGCCAAGAGCCGATTTCAAAAGGTGTTCATGTCGCTATACTCACCACAGAAATGGCCCCTGATCGTATGCTCAAGTTCAATGTCTCCACCACCACAAATTCACGTACCCAGAAATCCAATTTGAGTTCTTTTCTGATGGCCTCAGTGTTGACTTTGATCGTGACAAGGACATAAAGACCTTTATCAATTCTCTTCATTACAGTAGGTACCAAAAACTTTTCGAGCCTTGTAGCAAACCTCACTGTGGTCCAAAACTGTTCTTGCATAATTGCTGATCCCTTATATATATTCGGCTATAGATATTGCTACTGATCATGGCATCCCTTCTGTATTGCTTTGGATGCAACCTTGTGTCTTGTATTCCATTGCTTATAGATTCATTTCCTAATTTAGAGGACCCAAATGAGAAAGTGCAATTGCCTGGACTGCCAATGCTAAAGGTTAGAGATATCCCGTCTTATATACTTCCTTCTACACCTATGTATGTTAAGCAGATTATGGGGAATTCATGTCAAGCTTTGGATAAGGTGAGATGGGTTTTTGCTATCTCTTTTTATGAGTTGGAGGAAGAGACAGTGAAGTCTATGGATTCTCTAACTCCAATTTACCCTATTGGAGCCTTGGTTTCAGAATTTGTATTAGGAGACAAGGATAACAATGATGTTTATTTTAATATATGGAATGTTGAAGGTTCTTGCCTCGAGTGGCTTGACAGTATGCCATCCTCCTCAGTTATCTATGTCTCATTTGGCAGTGTAATTGTCTTGTCACAAGAGCAGGTGGGTAATATAGCTAAGGCTTTGAAGAATAGCAACAAAGGATTTATAAGGGTGATTAAGCCACCAGAGAACGGTTCTGAGAATGGTGCTGCTAAATTGCCATGTGGGTTTTTGGAAGAAACAAAAGGGAGGGGGTTGGTGGTCACATGGTGCCAACAAGAGAAGGTGTAATGCACCCTGCAGTGGCTTGTTTTGTGACTCATTGTGGTTGGAACTCCTTGCTAGAGACAGTAACAGCTGGTGTGCCTGTTATTGCTAATCCAAAAAGGTTGGATCAGTCAACAAGTGGTAAGATTATAGTTAAAAATGGTGTGGTGATGAACTATGGGGAAGATAAAGTTGCTAGTGCAGAAGAGATTGAAAAATGCATTAAGGAAGTCATGGATGGACAAAGTGCTGATGAGATAAAGAAGAGAGCAATGGAACTGAAAGAGGTGGCAAGAAAAGCATTGGATGAGGGTGGTTCATCTGATAAGAACTTGAATCAATTTGTCACTGATTTGAAGAATGTTGCCAATCTAGCCAGGGCTTAGGCTTAAGCTTTTAAATTGGTCTTGTTACAGACTTACAGGGTTACACAAAGGACTTTACATAAAGGTTCTGTGTGGTAACCAATATACATAAATAAAGGTTTTGTGTTTTTTTAATCTTAAACACATTTTGGATAATTTCAAGGCAAACATTAACTAACTCCTTATATATGATTATTGGTGAATTAAAAAATACGCAGCTGACTCACAATCACAGTACTCATCACCACAAGTATATTTCCTATTATTTGTCCACTTTCAAAAAAATATTTATATTTATTTGTCCATTTAAAATATTATCAATTATTGTATTTTTATTTATGCTCTTATTTTTACTTAAATTAAAAATATTTTATAGATTTATCATAAATAAAAAATATCAGCGGTAAAATTCAAAGTTTATACTTTTATACAAATTATATTTTAATATGTGTATTGTTCTCTTAAATAGATAAAAAAATGAATAAAGTAATTTTAACTCGTGAACTATTTACATAATAAGAAAAATTATTAATGATAAATACCATTACAATACCATGAAAAGGAAATATTATTGCATGTTTTGGGATCACTATGATGCTAATTAATCAAAATATTAGACATTTATATTTTAACAAAATATTAAACACATAATACAATGTTCGTGGTTGGAAAAAATTAAAATTTTCTCGTTGGGAAGGAAAGATAAAACATAACAATAATAATTATATATCCACGTATCTGTAAATGAAAAAAGTTGTTCTCGTAATAACTACATAAAAGTCCTTCTAGTAAAAAAATAAAATAAAAATCCATGTATACCGAAGCAAATAGAGAAAACATACAAAGAGAAACATAAAAAAGAAAAGTAGAAAAAAGACGAGTGTGAAAAAAATAATGCTTATAATATATTATTTTTATAATGATTTTAAGTAAGAAGAATTACAAATAAAGGCGTAATTAAACATTTATTTTTATTATTAGTTTAAATCTACCTCGTTTTTCCTACATGTTTCGATAAGCGTTGAAAACGCGACACAAAGTGGTCGTGCAAATATATTTCATGACAAAGCTTAATTCGCATCCAACTTCGTCGTGTCAAACTAAAATAATTCGCATTTAATTTAAGTTTAAATTTCAAAACTTAAATCCTATTTTTTATTATACAAATTCAAAATATATAATTTAACATACCATTTTATCAATTTTACTTATAATATTAATATTAATGTTATGTTATTTTCTTTTTTTATTTATTGAGATTTGAAATATATTTTTATCATTAATTAGCTTCAATCATTAGTGCATTAGCATTTTGTTTAGACCAACAAGTAAAAAAAAATATTTTGCACTTATTTAAATGAGTAAAAATAGAGTAAAAAATAAATAAAATATTTAAAAATATTTTTATATTAATTTAAAAATTGAATTTTATTCAAATAAAATTATTTTTATGATATATTTTTATTAAGTTAAATTTATTATTTATTTTTATATGTATTTGTTATGAAAAATATTATTTTATTTTTAAATAAACTAAAACAAAAAAAAAATTGTAGCAGCTTCTTCCTCTCATAATCACACCTCCAATGACAAGAAAATTTTATAATGAGTTCGCAAAATTATTTTTTCTCCTTTCACAACTTTTGTATTTAGAATTATCTCTTCTTAATCCCACTTTTTTTTTTTTTACTTATGTTGATATTTTTTTAAAATACTAGCCAGTATTCTTGAGATATTTCTAAGAAATAAAAATAATAATTTTTATTAAAAATAAAAAATAAATTTTAATGTTATAATTTTTAATATATCTAAATATGTTTTTAATAAAAATATTTATTAATTCTTTAACCAATATTCTTAAGACACTGATTCTCAAGATTAAAAAAAAGAAGAAGAAAGTGTACTTCAAAGAATAAAGCACAATTACAGCTATTAGTTAAAAAAATTATTGATTAAAAACAAACTTATATTTTATCATGATTTTAATTATTAATATAGCTAATAATTATAACCACACTTTTGTAAAATTGTATTTCTTTATTTTAGAAGAGTTGAATTCATTTGGATACATAACATACATCTTGCCATTCCCAACTCAATGCATGTTCAAAGATTTATATTAATAAAATATAAAAAATTGAGAAAAATGAGATGCACACCAAGGTTATGGTTATTTTTTTCCCTTGTGACAAATTATGATACACTCGTGCATATTAAAACTAGTAACTATTTTATATGTTAGTAGGATATGATTATTTTTAAATTTAAGTAAAATTTAAAAATAAATTAAACTAGTCACCCTGTATTTTTGTAAGTTTTTTCTTTCCCAAGATTCACCTCAATATTGAATCGTCAAACGATAATATTTTGGTTTTTAAAAAAAGACAGTTTCTGACCATTTTGATTACAAGCAGAGTTGCAGAAGAAAAGCTCTGGGGAGAAATACATGTTCCCCTCTTTACCTTTTGGTTAAAGAAAGCGAGAGATTCGTCAAAGATCGGCTCTTTCATTTTTAAAATATGATTGGAGACCACCAATTCAGGATTCTATTTGTCCCGAGCTTGGTTGCACCATTTTGCCATCCATCAATTGTGAAAAGTGAAAATGGAATAAATAAGCGCACAACTTGTATCCATTATTGTATAAGAAAAAAATGTTTTCACATCCCAATGTCATTAATACATTTTTATTATATAATATTTAATAGAACAACTTTATCTCCATTCCTTAATTTGGTGTGGTCGTGAAGGCGCTTTAAAGAAACAAGAGCCGGTGAAATTTGACCTACAACTTGGCATCCACGAGGTAACTTATTGTGAATCTTGCAATCTTTCATGACAATAGTGACTTGTGAGGATGTAAACCAAGTCCAAAAACTCCGCTCACTGATCAACCAGTACATTGATTCCACGTTCTCTGTTGCACCTGATACTCGTCACTTTCCACCCTAAACATTTGCACTGAAATCTTGGAAGGCTAAGATCCTTTTTGTTTCCCAGGCAAGTAGAAATATTCTTTACTCAATATCCGGGTAGTGTCAAAGGTTTCAGACAGGGGTAGAAACAGACACATTATTTATTGAGAGACTGTGTCTTAATCTATTATAAGGTTTAAATTAGTCAGATTTAATCCTTATGACCTTTTAATATAGTTTATTTAATTAAAAAAATTGAGTTTTTAGTTATTTAAAACATCTTACTTTAATAGATCCATATATCCATGTAAATGAAAAAAATATAATAAAATTATTATTAGTTTGAGGCCTATAACAATAACATTATCATTATTAAGTTTAAATAACATTTTATTTTATTTTTAATTCCTGTTTCATTTTAATATCTGTCTATTATTTTTAGTTTCTTTCAATTGTTTATAATCAATTTATAATTTTTAAATTTAAAAAAAATTATATTCCCTTTTTTCTCTCTTGAAAAACTCTGCGTCCATCCAAACATCCCTTAATAGGTCCCACCCCAACAAGCCCTTCACCGTTCATTAAGTTAATAAGTGAAGGCCATTGGTTTGGCTTGGTCGTTCAAGATGCCAAAGTAATCTTTTCAGCCCCACGTCCCATCACTTTGTTTGGGTATAAACACTTCCGGCACATAACGAAGAGGGTTGAGGCCAACACTTTAGCCAACTAAAAAATGAGACGCTCCATTTCACTTCTAGTGCTCTTCATGGTGCTGGTTGTGACAAGGCCATGCCTTGTAAATTGTAGGGTCCTTGCATCACAAGAAAAGCCTACTCATGAACCTGTCCAAGATGATCAACTAAAGATTCCCACGACTTCAGTAATGAAAGAGAAGACCGACACTGAGGATAATATAAGCCCTCGGGTTTTGATTGGTAGCCAAGTCCACACGATGTCTTCAGGGCCTAGTAGAAGAGGTTCAGGTCATTAACATGATGTTTCATTTTATCATTAGTGGCGTTTCCTTACCGGTTTACATTTGTATTAGCAATAGATCAGCTTTGTACATAAAACTATATGGGAAGTGTAATTTTTGTCTATAAGAGATATTTAGATGTTGATATTTTATCTATTGAATTTTGCATATTATTTAACATCGTCTAAGGAGCTTATTTAATCGCAAGCTCTCACAACGGTAGCATATAAAAAATTGAAGCTAGGTGATACTGCAATATGCTATAACGCGCGTACGGGTGCTAGTTAGATAGTTACCCCATACGTGAAATAGTGTTTAGCTTCGTTGGCCGCAGGGTGTAGAGAATTGGAAACGTGTACACGGATCGATCAATAGTGCTCTAATTATGGGACTCATGCCGCATGCGTGGTACAACGGAACAAAGAGTGGTTTGTGCGACTCAATCTACGTACGTGACATCAAAGAATAAGCATTTGTTAATTTAAGTAATTAAAGACATAGCTATTAAAGATACTTTGTGAACTTTATAAAAAATATCTCGAGGCTAGTAACTCCAAAATAACTACATTTTTATTTTTAAATATATATATATATATATATATATATATTATTCATTTTCTCTATTAACTTTTTATTGCTCTCGTATATATTTTTCTGAACTCCTAATATTTTTAAAATTACATATTTTATTTTTACAATTATTTTATAAAATATAAAATAAATAGAAATCAAATAGGCACTAGTTTTTAATAACTAAAAAAATACATATTTTATTACATATATTAATATTAAACTTTTTTAAGAGCTACCATGCTTGTTGCTAAATTATTAGTTTGGGGGAGCATTTATAAATAAGTAAAACTATAACAACAATTATTTAACTGATTAAATAATTAAAACAAACTGGTACATTAACATACCATTTTATAAATAAAACTGCTATCATATAAAATGACAACGCTCGTGTGTCTTTTTTTTTTTTTTTTGTTAACTACACTCGTGAATTTTGTTCCTCTGTTGTGGGAAGTTATGTGAAGCCCTTATACCCCGTTACTCAGCCACATAACAAAACAGTGGTCTAAAGCCCATGGTTTTATTTCCCTGCCATTGTATGGTTGTGTGTCACTGTCTCCAACCCATCGCTTTTCTGTGCCTTCTCTATCTATATATTCTAGTACTAGCCACCAAATCAAGCGTTGGCCCGTTTAGTAGAGAGAGAAAATTAGGAAAAGGAAAGCGAAACAAACATCATGGTGGGGCAGTGGACGGCGACAAAACCCAGCCGGAGCGACGAGGTTTTAGATGCTGAGGAACAAGTGAGGATCGCTAATCACGTCAGAGCTCATTTTGATGCCTTAGAACCCAAACGATCCATCAAACCTAACCGAAGTGAACCCGATCCCTTAGCGCAGAACCCCGTTGACCCCGCCATCTCTCTCCACGATATTCCCGAACTTCACAAGTTTCAATCTCTTCAATCTCGTTCTCATGTCTGTAACCTTTCTCTCTCTCTCTCTCTCTCTCTCTCAACTACTTTTTTTTTAAATAGGGAAAAGTTAGTTACGCAGCTATTGGTTTCTCTCTGATAACCGTTAAAATTCGCAGGATGTACTTTCATCGGAGGGGTTCGTGGATACGCAGGATGAGTTCGTGGAGACGCAGTATTATAAAGAATTGGCATCCGTTGACAAACAGCATCACACGGTTTGTGCAGAGTCCCTTTCCTCAATCTGGATCGCCTTATATTTATATATAACTTTTTTTTTAAAACCTGCAATTTCTAATTAGTTTAATCAAATTGGACGCTCTGTGTTTCATTTTTTTTCTCTTTTTGGTACTGACAGACAGGGAGTGGGTTCATAAAGGCGGTGAGAGAAGGAGGGGAAAATGGATATGAGATTCAGCTGCCTGCAAGCCAAGTTGATGGTGGTGAAACCCAACACAGAGGCTATAAAGGCAACCCTGCCACCAACGACTGGGTTCCCAACTTAGATGAACATAAGGTAAAGACTAAAGAGAGGGAGAGATTTTAGCAGATAAAAATATATGTAATATGTAATTCTCATGTTAAACAAAATATCTTTGTGTTCTTTTATGTTGTAACAGGTTTTCGTCTCGTCGAAGCCGAATAGGAGCGAGAGTGCTTGATCTGCCAGAGAAAATGGGTTATCTTGTACCAGCTTTTTCCTTATTCCGTATGCCTGGTTTTCTCATGATATGGAGTTTGGTGGGAGCTACAATGCTTGTTGTATAATTAATTATTATATAGTTTACAATTTCTCGGGGTATGATTGCGTTTAACACCCTGCCTTAATCACCGTCGTTCTCTATCCATTTTCACTGCTTCTATGATTAAATTATCGATGTAGTTACCCTTAACTAATGTTAAAATGCATCTAGCTTGGTTCAGCCCATTTTTCTCCCTATCCACTAATTCCTTGACTTTATAGAATTTGTTTATAGCAAAGATCTACACGTCTCATTTATTAGAAAGAACAAATACACACTGATACTCTGAATTGTAAATAAATAAATAAAAATAAGAAAGTCGTCATTAGTCTGCTAATTGAACAGGGGCATTTGAACGTTGTCTACGGATCAGAGAAAATATTGCTAATGATTGGACGCGCCTTGCATTGGGCCTCCAATGGAATGGCCTTGGGCACCAGAGTTCCACGTCCTTCGCCCATGTCAACTTCTTCTTCACCGATCCTTTTCCACTCAAAGCATTGAATCAGCGTGCCTAAAGTTAAGCCTACAGTTCTTTGGGCCATGCCTGCCCCAGGACACGCCCTTCTTCCCAACCCAAAAGGGATGAGGTTATGGGCGTTATCTGGCCCATTCTGAAACCTCTCGGGCTTAAAGCTTGCTGGGTCAGTCCACAACTCTGGGTCCCTGTGGATGGCCCAAGCATTCACCATTAACATGGTGTTACGTGGCACGTCATAACCTCCCACAGTGCAGTCTTCGGAGGAGTAATGAGGCAGCAGCATTGGCACTGGTGGATGCAATCTTAGAGTCTCGGAGATAATGTTCTGAAGGTATTGCAACTTGGCAACTTCTGCTTCCTCCATCAAACGCTCTTGTCCAACTTGAGCATCCAATTCAATTCTCGCTTTCTCCAACACCTCTGGATGGTTCAACAAATTGGACATCGCCCATTCTAATGTTATAGCGGTAGTTTCTGATCCAGCCACAATTAATGCCTACAGAACAATAAATACATTATATTATAATTATGCGATGGTTATATTAACACTTTTTTTTAAATTTCGTAACAACGTGTAAATTGAAATTGCAAAGGAAATGACTCACCATAATTAGACCCTTGATAATTTGGTCAGTGTAATACTCAGGTTGTGACTCTTGAAAGGAAAGCAAATGGCTTATCATGGTATTGGTATTTGAATTATCCTTGTTATTCCTTTGTTCATCAATGAGTCCTTGAAATAGCGAGTCTAGCTTCTCCCCAACTTTTCGTAACTTCTTGTGACTCCGAAATTCGAACCATCTGAAAACGGGCACAAAATCTCCGAGGTTCGACCCTAACCCGAACTGGGCCATCTCATTCATGATGTCTCTAAACTTCCTAGCCTCTTCAGCGTTGGTCCCATCATATTCCTCGCCATAGTAGCGTTTGCCACACACCATTCTCATGATAGTGTTAAACGTTAGATCCGCAAACATGGACTTAAGCTCAACTTTTGTGAAGTCTTTATTAGAGGCCTTAGCTAGCTTTCGAAGCAACTTCATGATCTCGTCCTCTCGCAGTCCCAAAAAGGAGTTAAGACGGTGATTAGAGAGAATCTCAATTGAGCTAATACGACGTAAGTTGCGCCAGTGGTCACCATATGATGATGCTGTGATAATGGTATGGTTAAAGCCAAGATACTTGGTCTTTATAGATTGGAAACGGTTCGCAAAAATGATGTCGTTTTTGGTGAAACATTCTTCAGCAGCGAACGAAGATGAAACGACAAGCACGGGTTGAGACCCAAATTGGAGGGAAAATATAGGACCATATTTTTGTGACAGGTCGTATAAGGTACGATAAATTGGTTGTTTCAGTTGATGGAGGTTCCCAACTATTGGAAGAGAAGGTGGGCTTGGTGGTGGGTTTTTGGATCTTTTTCTGAAGAATAATAGCTTCAAAGTGGTGAGAAAAAGGAAGAGGCAAAGGACGTTGATTAGGATGTCTTCCATGTTTCGTAATGTTCGTGAGGGGGAGGCGGTTGGATTTTTATACAAATCTGATCGTGGATAAATGTGTATATAGTAAGCTGCGACCTGCGAATAATATTCTAACTTTGAAAGTAGGAATCAAAAACACTAATACATCTTTGATTTTAATTCTGAACATGGACCAGACCAGTCTGAGTTTGGAAATTTCTTCGAATTATTTTACATGTGTGTTAATGATACTTTTTAATATTATATTATACTTGGAAAAAAATTTAAGGATTTTAATATGTTAAAATACTTTTAGCTTTTCATTTTTTTATTTCTTCTCATATTCATGTGTCATACCAGAATTGATTTTTTTTATCGAAATATTGTTTTTAATGTTTTAATAAAAGGATTTATTATAATAAAGTAAAAGTATACATACATGTTTGAAATTTTAAATTTTAAAGAAAATGAAAAACTAATTTAATCGGTAACTGTTTAAAACCAATTTGTAAATATTTGACTATGCTTGATGTTAATTAAATAGAATTGAATGTTAACTTTGAAAATTAAAGAAAGAAACAATTATTTTTATTAAATCATTAATTCATGTAAAAAAATGTTTTAATTTAACACGAATTCATAATGCATTCGTCGTTGAATGAATGAAACCCATGCTTGTGAGAGAATGAAATCAACAATTTCTTTTTCGAATTTGCTGTGTGGTACAAAACTTTCTTGTACGAAAATGATACGAACTGATGTGTTTATATTTCATTGGATATATATAAAAATTAAGAAATAAATAAAATTAGAAAATGCAATGGCAATCATATCACGTCTGTTCTACATGCCTATATGGCATTTGTGCAGTGAAAATTGCCTGGTCCGGACTAGCGCGTCAGCGGTCCCAACCAATGATTTTGTGATATATGACAAAATATCTAATTAATTAATCGAAGTTTTTTACATAAAAGGTAAATATTGAAAATTTACTGTAAAAAATGGTCAAAAATTCAAAAATTGTAATTTATTTTCTATTTTCTCTTTGTTTAGTGACAGAAGGAAGTAACCACACGTTATCAAAATAAGAAAAATAAAATATAAAAAAAGTATTATATTTTATTTATATTTGACATAATAAATAAAATAACTCATATAATGTACTTAATGTTCCTTCTAAAGGTAAGATTTATCACTTGTTTATGATCTATACGAAATATTGTAAATATTATAAGTGATGAAGAACGTAATAACAACTTGAATTTTAGCAATACTTAATTAGTCAATCGAGATAAAAGTTTAATATCGCTTTACAAGGTCGCATTGTTTCTACGGAAGAAGAAACATATAACTTATATAATGCGTATATGATTAGTAATTATACTTTGTATTTTACATTTAAATATTAACAATCTATATATATATATATATATATATATAATGGTTGAAATATGAATTAAAAAAATTAAAATTAAAATTCTTAAAAGGTATAGTTACTTTAAAATTCAGTTGACTTATTTGTTCATTCAATGTATCCATTTTTTGACTTTTTACTTGTTAGGTTGTAAAAAAGGGTGTTCAAAAATTGAAGGCAACAAATTGTAAATTTGAATTAGGTTATTTTTGAATATTTTTCATTTTTTAAAATATTTTAATACTATTTTTTTGTCATCTAAAATTTCAATATTAATGACTTTTAATAAAGTAACAATTTTTTTATATCATCGTCATGTTTACTTTGGTTGAAATTGGAGAAATCATTAAATTATTTTTCATTTTACTTAGTATTCATGCTTCGAAACATGTTTTAAATTATGTGGTGCAAGATTAAATATTACACCCTTTTGTCTACATTTATGTTTGGTTTGTTGTCATCATAAATAATTAAATTGAATAAGTTTGGTCAAACTTGTCATAAGTTCAAATAGAATTTAATATAAAAGAAAAAGTATTAAAATCTATCATATTTTTATTATGAGTTTTGTTAATATCAGTCTTAGATAAATAATTAATAATAATAAAAATTTATTAAAAAAAGTATTTATTATATTTTTCTAATTTTAATATAAGAATTGTGTATTTTTTTATAAATTTTATTTATTTATTAATGCTTAAACTCAACTCTTAATAAAACTCTTCATTATTGCTTATAGTTTTTGTCTTAATTTTGAAGTTATTATATATGTTATTTTTATATTAATTAATGAGTTAACTATTTGACATAGTTACAAAAGAAAGAAAAAAAAATCATTACAATAACAGAAAGTCTTGTAAAGAATAAATAGAAATAGTATATAAAATAAACAAAACATACATGAATATAAAATGCAGTGACATTAGTGAGTTACAAGAAAGCTAAATAGCAAAAAATTATATTAATTTGTTTACAAAGAGCAATGAAGAGAGAGTAAAATGAAATACAAAATCTAAACCTTTTAAAATCTTTGACGATAAAATTGTGATATTTTACTGTGTCATTAAAACCTTCGTTAATTAATTTTTTATTAATTAATTAGGCATTTTACCATGTGTTACAAAATCATTGGTAGGGACTACAGCTGAATGACGTGATAGTTATCTAATCAGCAGCAAAGTGTTAATGGGTCATCGTTAGTGAACACTAATGACGCGCCACCGAAGAAAAGGACGAAAAATATCATGGAATGTTCGTGTCAACTGTTTTGCAAAGAAAATTACAAAATGTCATTCCGTAGCCAGCTTGTCTAACGCATATGTTTAGCTGACTAGTGATATTAAAGTCAGTTTTGTTATATTTTTTTAATATTTGTTTAATTTATAAAAGAAACATTAAATGAAAATGTTTATGTATTATTATATTAAAAATAAAATATATCTAATACTTTATATATTTAGTAATTAAAAGGATTTATTAAAACAAAAAGTAGGAAGATTTAAATTTATTTATTGAACTCAGAGAGGTTACTGAATTAATTAAAGAGATTGAATTATTGAGTCGATGGTTGATCGAAAATCACTGAACTCATACAGATTATGTGTTTGATTCTTAGAGAGTAAATTTCAGAATATTAAGAAGTTGGCAAGGGAAGAGAATGAATATTGTGTGGTAGATAAATTTTAATTTATTAGGACATTTAACTGTACGTGTGGTCATCGCTTATTAACATTATTTTTTTAATTAAAAATATTTATAATTAAAGTTATATATATATATATATATTAAATTAAGTATAAGAATTTTTAAAATTTTTATATTTAATATGAACTTTTTATTTAACTTATATTTAATAGTCAGTAAAATAATAAATTATAACCTGTTAAATATAAATTAAATAAAAAATTTAAACCTCATAATCTTCATATATAAAAGTGAACTTATTTAATTGGATCAATTTGAATTTATCTAAATTCATTTCAACTTTTTCAACTTAGTTCAATCAAGCTTAGTACACACTAAGTTAATAGCAATTAAAAAAATAATTTATTTTAACAAGTCAAAATTAAATTAAATTAAATTATTATTTATTTAACATACAAAAATTTGTTGCAGTTAGGCTTTTTAACGTAAATAGAATATTATGCATGTGTGCTTAATAGTTTTAATTTACATGAATGTCATAGTTTTATATGCAAAGAAGTTGACAAAAAATGACTTTTAGCTAAAGAGGAAAACAATTAGAATCGACTTCCTTATGTTAAGTTGTTGCATTACTCATTGTAATTCCACCATTTGCTAAAATCAATTGAAATCAACTTTAATTTCTCTTTGCTCCTCTTAAAGAAGTCAATTACAATCAACTTGCATAATGAACAAAGAAGTCGATTATAATCGACTTTAGTATTATTTTGAAGACGAATTTAATTGACTTTTACAACAATTTAAACATATTACCTAGAAGAAGAAGGGAGAAAGTGAGACCGGAGGAGATTGGAGACAACAAACTATTTAAGGGGACAATTTGAATTAAGAAAAAAGGTGATTCTATACTTATTATTGATATAGATAATAATTAATATCAGCTTAATTTTATTAATCATATTATAAGTAAGCTCTCGATGTAGGTAATCTAATTTTTAAATGTTTATAATTAAATTTTATTTATTTATTTTAATGTTTCATTGATTCTTTAAGTGTATGTTTAGAAAGATATATGTAAATGTTAATTATCATATTTATAAATTTAATTAATTATCTATTATATATTTTTAATTATTATGATAGTTTAATTTCGTATTGTAGTAATTTACAAATAAAAATTTAATTTTTGTTATTTATTTTGTGACATAGTTAATTTAAGTTTATTTTTGTTATAATATTTTTATTTAAATTTCATGTTGTATATGAATAAAACATTAATAAATAATTTAGTGCAATTTTTATTTATTTTATGTTTAGTTTGCAGGATTGTATATAATATTTTTTATTTGTACATAATTTTTAAATTTTAAAAAGTAGGCACTATAATACGATAGTCATTTCACATCAGAGGATGAAGCAATTTCTTAAGTATACTGATTTTTACCATGTTACACAGATGATTCCAACATTCAATTACGATAGGACACTCATAAGTGCACCCGTAGAAAGTTAGAGGCCTAAGTTACACATATTTTATCTTTTGTATGAAGAATGTATGATTACTTTGGAGGATGTTGTGTTTTAGCTATACTTGCGTGTAGATGGATTTACTCTAAGTAACTGTATTGGAGCGTGGAAAAATTTTTATGATCGAGATATATGAGTATTATGTGAAAATTTACTTGGAGTAGTTCCAGATGAGATAACATAAAATGATTCTCAATAAATCTACAGTGATTCACAGATACATTTGAAATATTACCCTATTATGTTGATGAGCAGACTATAATCTATTACACCAGAACATACATAATGGTTCTATTTAGTGGAGTATTATGGGTTTGCTATTCTATGATCCTTTTATTGTGAGCTTTGTCATGCAGGAAAATATAATGTCACTAAGATTACAGGTTATTTACCTCTTCTACAGTCATAAGCATGATACAAAATACCTCAATTGGCCCTTAAACACCATCATT